TCTGCTTTGTACTTCTGTATTTGCAGTGGGGGAGACTAAGGATGCATTTGCTCAGGATTCACTTCACATTGTGGGAATGTGAATCGAGGTGGTGTGTTTAATACAAAATATGTGGGTTTCTCTTCTTTCCTTTTTGGCAGGGTGCTAAAGTGTTGTGTGGTGGAGATATCTACGTACCTGATGATCCCAAGTTAAAGGATGGATATTACATGCAACCTTGTATATTAAGTATGTCCTCTTCTTGTTTGCTTTTTAGGGATGTAAGCTAAATAGTGACTAGATAGAAAGGAATATTTATGAAATATGCGTATGATGTAAAGCAAGGGTTGGCAAACTATGTGATCCTCACTTCCCAGGTTTTCCTCTGCAGCCTTTGATTTGCCTCTCCTCTAGGGCAACCATCTGTATTCGTTTACCTGGGACAACATCTATTGTTCTGGAAGCAGTGATCTGAAAATAATGAAAATGCATGTTCAGTAAAGAATTAAGTCATGCATTATTTATTTTTTTGAGACAGTCTAACTTTGTTGCCCTGGGTAGAGTGCTGTGGTATCATAGCTCACAGCAATCTCAAACTCTTGGGCTCAAGTGATCCTCTTGCCTCAGCTTCTCAAGTAGCTGGGACTGCAGGTGCCCAGCACTACACCTGGCTATTTTTTTTTTTTAAGAGACAAAGTCTCACTCTTAGCTGATCTTGAGCTCCTGAGGTCAGGCAATCCACCCATCTCAGCCTCCCAGAGTGCTGGGATTATAGGTGTTGAACCACCATGCCTGGCTTGAAAGATAACCACTTTTTATATCGATACATTTTGTTTTTATCATTCTTTTGCTTTTCTCTGTCACTTTACAATGCATGTTAATATGCCCTATACAAATAGTGTTAGTTTCTTTTTTATTTTGTCTCTCAAGACTGTTTCCTTGTGTGAAACAAAAGGTAAAATCCTTAGGTGAAAAGTTTATCTACGTTCAAAGTGTGCAAAAGGAGTAAACCTTGTGCAAGACTATGGAACGCTTCACAAATTTGCGAGTCCCTCCCCTTGGACAGGGGCTGCGTGCTAATCTTCTCTGTATCATTCCAGTTTTAGTATATGTGCTGCTGAAGACAGCACTAAAATATTGTTAGTTTTGTAGATTTAACAAATTCATCTGTTTGGGCGGTTCCTATGGCTCAGTGCATAGGGCACTGGCCCCATATACCAATGGTGGCAGGTT